ACTAAATAATAATAATTGAAATGATAATAATAGTGATAATAGTAATTATAGTAATAATAATATAATAATATTACTACACTAATAAAAATATTAAATCTCCTTTAGATTTACCAAATCTATTTATAAAATCTAGTACATTATATAAAATACAATACTGCCGTCCCTTTATTTGTACACGTTGAGCGGCTCTTTAGTACTGGAGGACAGTTGCTCAACAAAAAAAGGGGTTCAATGGCAGATAAAAATTTTGAAATGACTATTATTGAAATTTAATAAATACTTTGAATAAACCAGCAGAAAAATACTAGTTTTTTATTCCTTATTTTTAAATGTTTGAGTTATTTATTTTTGAATTGTTAAGGTTAAACAATAAAGTAAGTACATACATTTAAACTAAAATATAAATTAACCCAGACTCTAGAGTGAAATATAAATATTAAATAGAGTTATAAAAKGATACAGTCAATCAATTTTTTTTTTCATTATTAACTYAACTTATCAATTGAAGTTAAGTTAAGTTAAAAAAAATCATTAACTTGCCCAGCATTGATTATTGCAATACGTATAATTAGTAATTACTGTTATTTGTTACGTATACCATTCTCTCGAAATAACAATTATCTAATAAAGAAATAATAATAAACATACAATCAGCTGCTCAACTGTCGCTTCTATAATTCTATGTTGTTCTATGTTTACACTACACATACCTAGTGACTATAGTTATAAATAATAATAATATTTGCATTTACAAAAATCCGTCTGGTTCAACCAGCTGCGTACATACGATTTTTTCCTTGGGGGAGAGGGGGGGGGGGTCAAAAATATATTTGATTAAATTTACAAGTTATTAGTTAAACTAAACGTAATTTTTATTTTGTTTCGTATTGCAAGCTCTTGACGACCACATAAAATAACAACTTCAATTATAGGTAAAATATTTAGTCAGTTTTCAATAGATATGCTTGGATTATTTCTCGTTTTTAAAAAATTATCGGTATCTATTACACTTTTTAACATGATAATTTAGTTTATCGTGTTTAGTAAATGTTTCTATAGCGTGTTTTCAATTAGGTAATACATTTATTTATAACTGTAGCGAATAGGACTGTATAAAAAGCGAACATTTATTTGACATTTAACGAATATGTTTTTTCTTTTATTTCACAACATCATTTATTTTGTTGTTTAAAGTGGCTTAATGGTCGATCGCGTGCTTYCACCATTTCGACGCACAGACCACGATTTAAGATAGTACCATCTTAAATCGTGGTACAGACGTAGACTGACGCTAGACTGAGCACTCTAGTGCTGGTAGGGGAGCGAACGCAGCGCGCTCGCTTTATCGGCATGTTATATCAATTGCGAGTTGCGACCATCGAGAATCGAGATAAAGAATAAAGAAATTCATGAAGAATATTTATTCTTTATCTCGATGGTTGCGACTAGCGACCTAAGCACCAAGTTTCTGGCCATTTGTTCCACCTTCAGATTTGGAAAAATGAAATATTGTGTCGGTCGACAGATCGTAATATACTAATATCGTATATATTATCGACCGGCGTCGGCGTGCTGAACGTTATATTAATTTGTACTAGTATTATTTATATAGGGTTTAAAAATTAATGAAGAGAAGACCAAGTATATGAGATTATCAGCTGTGGAGGCACGCCACAGAGTGCAGAACATTACAATTGGTCAATATAGTTTTGAAGGCGTAAAAGATTTTGTGTATCTTGGATCATCCCTTAATAACAGGAATAATATGTCAGAGGAGATAAAAAAAAGAATTATGTCCGGCAATCGTGCATACTTTGCTAATATCAYACTCCTATAATCAAAACTGCAATCGAAAACTACTAAGATGAAGCTATACAAAACACTTATCCRACCTGTAGTCTGTAATGGAGCTGAAACTTGGACATTGTCAAAAGAAGACTCCAACAGGCTAAAGATATTTGAAAGGAAAATAATAAGAAAAATACAAGGAGCAGTGAATGAGGAGGGAAGATGGAGGATACGGAATAACATTGAAATAGAGCAAATTTTAGAAAACGAAAATATAGTAAAATTTATAATCAGGCAGGATAAGRTGGTTAGGTCATGTGGAAAGAATGGACGAGGAAAGAATTCCAAAACGCATAATGTTGGCAAGAATGGAAGGAACCAGAAGACAAGGACGACCAAGGAATAGATGGATAGACGAAGTAAAGAAGGACTTACAGCAGATGGGTATACGGAACTGGAAAAGTATCGCTAAAGATCGAGACGAGTGGAGACGAATGGTTTTGAAAGCCAAGGGTCATTGTGGCCTGTAGCGCTTATGAGTAGTAGTAGTAGTATTATTTAGTATAACTATTATTTAAAATTATAACCAATAAAAAAAAACATTTTGTTTTGACGTGGAAACCCCTTACAACCCCCCACTCGTAACTACGCAACTGGGTTCAACGAATTAAATATTCTGGCTAATATAAGTGGTTTTTCCAATGGTCGATTGAAGACATACTTCGTTATGGATGTCTCATCGATTATGTTTATAATGAGCAATTCAATTATTGCTATTACTAGTTATTAACCCGTTGCTACTCACAGTTCACATTTTTCAATTATTATTCTATCTATAATTATGACAAATGATTAAATGTTTTTCACCACCATCGACGACAGATCTATTTTTTCATTCTGTTTTTCACCACTATCGACGATAGATCTATTTTTTCGTTCTTCTTCTTCTCAACGCCATCGACTCTCGCAAAATGTCTCCCGGACTTGCGATTTTTACTTTTTGTTCTCACCATCGGTGGAATACCACCATGATGGTCTGAGGCGACGTCATAGGCCCGTGGAGGGCGAAGCCACTTCCAACATCATCAGCTCAGTACAAACAGTCGTCGTCAAGTGTTATTTTCCCTCCAACATTCCCCCTTTTTCATTTTGATTATGTATCACCATCGTTTCTTTTTTTTACACTCCAGATTTTCCCAAGAGGTGCCCCGGTAACCGTCATGCGGAACCGTGGGTCGTTTCCTTTATACCGACGTATGACGATCATTATGTGCTCGATAACCGCTCGTCGGAGCCGTAGCATTGTTATTCGTATTTTTATCCATTTCGTTTCCTTGTAATTGCCATGTGCCAAATATTATTMATTTATTATATTTATTTTGTAATAAAATTGCCATACCATATTATTTAAAAAAAATTATTATTTATTGCATTTGTGCCCATGTAAAATAAAACCCAATGATTACTCTAACTCGCTCTCTCTTATTATTTAAAATATTATTTTCCCTTTTATTTTTATATAAATCTTCAGCATTAATTTGTTGATGCGTGTGCTAAAACCTGCAAGTTCCACCGACTTGGCCTTCGGGTCAACACGCGGTGCAGCTCGCAGGTCACTTCTCAAGTGCTCCCCTTGAATCGTGGGTGGTTTATAGGGCCTTAAAAAACACTATAATTTCACAACTTATATGTATAAAGTTATCAAAAATCTTGGATTCGGTCCGGTTTATATATCAGTGTGTTATTAACGTAGTTATTAAATTAATCATTTTATATGTAAAAGAAAAAT